TAACTCAGTAATAAATTCAATCAGCAAAAGAAAAACTTCAAAATCATTTTAGCCTGGACAAGCTTCAAGCTTCAAGCATAATATTCCTTACGACAAATAGAGAAATATTTGTTGCACAATCCCAAAATTTTGGTTCAACAAGTTTTTGTATAATCCTACTTAAATAACATTCTCTACACAAGCTAAAAATATTAATTTAAAAAAAGAGAGATAAAATTTTAAATTAAACGCACAATTATGTTTCAACAAATTTATGTACAATCTCACTCAAATTTGACTTGGAGGGACTTGAAGTGACATTAAGCACCAAAAATTCCAACCCATATATGAAATTGAAACAAACAGAAGAAAACCCAAATAACATATGGGTATGAAAGTAAAGCAGAAAAGCTGAGTACCTGAGATGCCATGGATTTCAGGAAAGCTGAGAGAAATTGAGAAATTTGTTGAATCGGAGGGGAAGAACGGCAATCGAAAGTGGTGACAGAGAGTGAGAGATGGAGGTGGAGAAGGGCGGCCGAAAGAGAGAGGGTGAGGTTGCCATCGCTGATGTGGGTTAGGGTTTCTGAGGAGGTGACAGTTGCCGTCATCGTGGGCAAGAACGAGAGAGAGAAAACAAGAAAAGATAGGAGATGGAAGATATAACTAAGAGGATATGGAGTTATGTGAGATTCGTGGAGGTGGATTTTCTGTGAGGTTTGAAGAAGAGGAAGAGGAAGAGACTAGAGAGAAGAGGAAGAGGAAGAGCAACGAATGAGAAGAAAACAAAAACTAAGTGAAGGATGGGCAATAGACTGTCAATAGGGAGTTTTTATAGGGGGTATTTGTGATTTGATTTCAAAATGGGAATATTATTGAATAAATTAGTTGCGCTGGGGGCAAAGCCGCCAATTTCCCCCGAATTTAAGTCTCGCCGACATGAATTGGCAGTCAGCTGCTCATTTGTTCGGTGGGGCCAAAACGCCATGCAGAGGTCTCGTTCATCTACTGCATATATCATGAGCACCGCACCCAAACTCCAAAAGAACTTTTTTTTCCTTTGGTGTTTTGTTTATTTATTTAATACAAGCAATATCGAAGTGGGGAGGATCGAGCTTATTATTACAGATGTAGGAATAAAATACTTTTAATCACTTAAGCTATAAATTTCTTATTTTCTTTTTGATTTAGTTGATACTCTATTTAGTATATATGTATATGCACATAGTGCAAGTGGCGTCACCGCACAGAGCCTCTGATTTTTAAGGGCCTCTGAAATTCTTTTACTTTATATTATATATATTAATATTATAAAAACTGTATATAAACTCCAGCATGCAGCACCTTAAGACAAAAGTGTATTTGGTAGATCTGGTTTCTAGTGCATATCTTTTGGTATAAGGTCCAAGTTCGAGTCTCAGTAATGACAGTAAATTCGTAATTTTATTCTTTTTCATTATAGTAACAAAATAGTTAAAAAAGTACTTTCTTCCACTCAAAACAAAAATTCATGCCTTCTCTTTCTCTTGTATTCTATTTTTTTTAACCAACCATACTAATATTTAACTTTATGAAATGAAAACATCAACAAAAAAATTGTGATTGTTATTACATGATAATTGATGATGAATTTAAAAAAAAATCGTTTTATGACATTAAGTCAAGGAAATTATTTTTTTTAGTATTTTCATATTAGATTATGTGAGGGCTCTAGTTTAAGTTTCACACAGGGCTCTCAAAATCTCAAGACCGGCCCTGCGTGTATGTAAAAAAATTCTGAAAACTTTGTTCATTATATAATGTTTTAAAATTATTTTTATTTGAATTTTTTTAATTTGTAGGCTTTTTTCAATAATATATGAATTATAATTGCATTATTAAAAGATATGTGAATTTTCTTGTATTAAACGAAAAAATATGCATGTATTTTTTACATGGGCACACAAGATCAAGGGCTGAACAAGGATGACTAGAATGCCAATAACAAGCTACACTCGAGAGAACAGTGGAATAGATAATAAAGAGGTGGACAGTATTTGGTCTAACAAATTATTGTTAGTTGCAAGAGTCGTCAAAAGATCTCTTCAATTTAAGTCCTTAAAGAAGTTTTGGTATGCTTAGAATGGGATAGCCTCCCCTCCCGTTAAACTTTTCAAAACCAGAAAGATCTCTTGAATTTAAGCTATCAACATGGTTAATATAAATAAACGAGATCCAAAATTTCAAATTTTGTTTTAATGTCCATAGTATCAATTTTATCATATTTTTGTAACTAGCTGTTAACATATGTAATTAACCAAGCATAACATATGTAATTAACCTTCTCTTCTCCTCCCTTTTGTTCCTTCCTCCCTCTTTGCCCCTGCTTTTATCTTGCTCCTTTTGGTTTTTCTTTTTTTCTTTTTCTTTTTTAGAGACTTGGTTGTGGATGGCTCTGATTCCATTGATTTTTACAACAAAGCATGTGGCAAAGGATGGAGGAGAGTTAGAACAAGAAGCTTCAGATTTAGGGGTTTGTTTCCTGTCGGATTTTCGGTATTCTCTCGTGCCTTGGCAGACCATGATGTTCTTCTCTCATCTGGGCAAATCTGGTTGTCTCTATTATGGATCTGGATGGCTTTGGTTGTGCATCATTTGTAGAGCAAAGTGTTGATGTTCCTTTAGTTGGTGTTAAGTCCAGAAACTCTGAGTTGTTTGGTTTTCTCTTATAATTCTCATAAATTTTGATGTAGGCAAACTTAGACTGTAAATCAGGGATTTTCAGACAAGTTCTTTGCGATTTATTCTCTCCAGGTCGTTTCAGCCCTAGAGCTGACTCTGGTCAATGAAGAAGCTTTACCCATGTCCGTCGTATCGCTAATCGAGATGACTCCAATTGATCTAATAAAATACTATCGCTTGTTTGGTATAAAAAAAATAATTAATAACGTATGGTTAACAATATGATTTGGCCCAAGAACTAACCAACGAATGCAAGATCAACTGAGATAATTAATAGCAAGGAAGATTGATTTACTAGACAGATAGAACAGAAAATTGAACAATTGAACACAAATCAATCGACCGATCCAGAACAGAACAACAAGGCATGGAAATGTCACATGACTACTTGCAAACAATCACTCCACCTTTCAATAATATCTACTTGGTAGCATAAACTTTCCCCCCACCAATAAAATTGAACTTGGACAAAGACAAGTGTGGTTTTAAGACTCATCATCTTCCCTCAATACACAAAGTAACACACAAAGATCTCTCATCCACATATCCACATATCCACATATCCACATATCCACACTCTAATTTAGGTTTTACCTCTACATTCACATATCCTCCATCACTTCCTCCTCGTCCTCGTATTCACCTTCCTCGTCGGCAGTCGCATCCTGGTATTGCTGATACTCAGAGACGAGATCATTCATGTTGCTCTCTGCTTCAGTGAATTCCATTTCATCCATTCCTTCGCCAGTGTACCAGTGCAAGAAGGCCTTCCTCCTGAACATGGCAGTAAATTGTTCGCTCACACGCCTAAACATTTCCTGGATGGAGGTCGAATTCCCGATGAATGTGGATGCCATGGATAGCCCTCTGGGCGGAATGTCACAAACACTTGATTTCACATTGTTTGGTATCCACTCAACAAAGTAGGAAGAGTTCTTGTTCTGAACATTGATCATTTGTTCATCCACCTCTTTAGTGCTCATCTTGCCCCTGAACATGGCTGAGGCAGTGAGGTACCGACCATGCCTGGGATCAGCAGCGCACATCATGTTCTTGGAATCCCACATCTGCTGGGTCAATTCTGGGACTGTTAGAGCTCGGTATTGCTGGGATCCACGGGAGGTCAGAGGCGCAAATCCAACCATGAAGAAGTGGAGACGAGGAAATGGGATCAAGTTGACAGCAAGTTTTCGGAGGTCAGAGTTGAGTTGACCAGGGAAGCGAAGGCAGCAAGTTACCCCACTCATGGTTGCAGAGATCAAGTGGTTCAGGTCACCAACTGCAGCAAAGTAATGCAACGAGATAAGCTAACATTTTAAGAATCAATGGAGCTATTTATTACAAAGTGGGTATGAAAATAACTAAAATATGCTGAAAATAAACTAGATCAATCCCAAAGAAACTTTCCATCAGAATCCAAAATCAGCATGAAGCCTTCCACATGCAGATACTAAACAGCAGAAATCATTTATCCACAATAATCCATCAACAATATAAAAAAATTCAACCAGGACAAAGATGTTGCACTCAGGGGCAAGATCACCGTCAGTGTTCAACCCCAAGCAATGCATTTACAGATATCAATACATTTTAAGGATCAGAAAATGTGGTGAGCTAGAAGTAACCTTACATAGCTTAAAGGCATTCTACAAAGCAAATTGGACATGCAACCTAATTCATGATTGCATACAACATGGTCCCACATCAGCTGGAATGGTATGCACGACAACTCAAACAAACAACATTGTTAAACAACCAGTAAAGTGGATATGTAACCTAATTCATGTGTGTCCTGTCACTCTTGCTTCCACAAGTAGCAACAAGAACCACCATACAAGTGATGTAACAATAAATATGCTAACACATTAACTGTAAGCTTGGAGACCAGCATGTCACATGCAGCCTGACAAATCAGCAAGAAAACATCTTAATTGGGACCAGATATTTAGATCAGGATATAACTGAAATAAAGTACATTTCACAAACGTGAAAGAAAAATTAATGAAGTGATAAATCAGGATGCCGTAATTGTTAAGGATATATTTTACCCGGGAAAGCATACCAGAGTAGAACATTAATTCGCATCAGATACAAAATTGTCTATGAAAATATTTATAGATTCATACAGATGCAAACTTTCGCTAAATAGATAAAGTACACAAGCAAATAATTTAAAGGAATAGATGCAGATAATGACAGTAAAAGCTTCATGCTGCTTACAACTAGGAGTAGTCAACTTGAGAGTCCTGAAGCAGATATCATATAAAGCTTCATTATCCAACACCATGCACTCATCTGCATTCTCCACAAGCTGATGCACAGAAAGGGTAGCATTGTATGGCTCAACAACTGTATCAGACACCTTTGGTGAAGGGAAGACAGAGAATGTAAGCATCATCCTGTCAGGGTACTCCTCCCTAATCTTCGAGATCAACAAGGTTCCCATTCCAGAACCAGTTCCTCCACCCAAGGAGTGGCAAACTTGAAAACCTACACAAAAGCAGGATTTCTTATGAGATATGACCAGCGTATCATATTCCTGATAAAATTTTGTGCAAATTTTCCTTCAACTTCAATGGATCATGAAATGCCAATCTCATCATCTACAATTGAAAACGACATTCCAGCTTTTTCTGTCAGCCAAATGCATATAATTAAGAAGAGACCTGTCACTCAAAACCATTCTAACCATTTAAACTGCCTGAAACCTTCAAAAGAAGAAAAATCCAAAAACCAATAAACAATAAACAATTTTTTTTTTTTTAAAGGAAAAGGTCTGCTTGCTACTTTGCCAATGTTGATTAATGTAACATAGTTTGATTATCATCTCAGTTGCAACTTTGACAGCAGATCATGGCTCAAAAGTTGCAACTTTGATCAATTAAAAAAAAAAGGAGCTAATCATCACACACATTTAACATACCTCATAAACAAACAAACAACACCAATCAGCACATCAAAACACTATACCTTGAAGACAGTCACAGTTCTCAGCCTCCTTTCTCACAACATCAAGAACGGCATCAATAAGCTCTGCACCTTCAGTGTAGTGTCCTTTTGCCCAGTTGTTACCAGCACCAGACTGTCCGAAAACAAAGTTATCAGGCCTGAAGATCTGGCCATACGGACCAGTGCGAACACTGTCCATGGTCCCAGGTTCCAAGTCCATGAGCACAGCACGAGGAACAAACCGCCCACACGATGCTTCGTTGTAGTAGACATTGACACGCTCTAGCTGCACATCCTTAGTACCGACGTACCTACCAGTTGGATCTATGCCGTGCTCATCGCACACAACCTCCCAGAATTTGGAGCCAATCTGGTTGCCACATTGACCGCCCTGAACGTGAAGGATCTCTCTCATTTTTCACTTTCCTGAAATTCACAGCACAATCAGAATTGAAAATCGAAAAAATTGCTAAAGTAGGATGTGATATGAAAGAGAAAGTACGGAATTCAGTGGAATATCGATGAGAGTAACAATCTACAAGAGATCATATCACCTTAATAAGCAGAACTCTACTAAATCCCTAACCATGAAGTACAAAGTGATGCGATGCAAAAATTTTACCGAACAAACTGAATTTAGCATTATTCTAAGCTATCAAGAGTTCATATCCAAATTTTCTGCGCAATTTCACTATATATCTATATATCCAGCAAAACTAAATGTGAATTTCTCTCATAATTGACATTGTCCGTGCAGTTTCTGCATATCTTATACTAAACCAGAGTAAATTACATGCCATACGTCAAAAAAAAAAATTCAAAGAAATAAACGGAAATTAGAACCGTGTCATAGAACTGAAATGCAATTCAAAAACATCATGATTCGATATATCAGAAGCAAAATAAAGATTAAATTCAACCAAAAACACAGTAATTACACATTCAGTGAAACTCAATCAAATCGAAGTCAATGAAATTCAAAATTTGAGGCCACAGAGAGTGAGAGAGTGAAAGATTACCAGTGACTTTGACCAAGAAAATGTGAGATCTGGTAAAGAAACAAGGTTGAAATGAGAGATTTGAGCGGAGAAGATGAACACTACAGAGGTTTATATACGCAAGTGAGAGCGAAGAGTGAGAGAGAAGAGTGAGATCCGACGGCTCTGTTGCTTCCCTCCATATTCTTCCTAGAGCCTTTGGATGCCGCAAGATTCTGGGCTTGAACGGTCACGATGGGCTTTTCTTGCAGTTATTATTCTCAGGGTGAGTTTTCATTTTTTAAATTTGAGTGGAAATTTTGGGGACAAATATTCTCTTGATTGAAAAGACAGGACGGTCCTTAACTAGTCAAATGAAGTTTGTTGGCGCCCCCCGCCAAAGAACAATAGTCGATTGAAGTACAAGAGAAGGGCATAAATGTCATTTCGAAACGTGTGGGTAAATTGGTCAATGACGATCAAAGAATCAGCTGAAACACATATGTCATGGTAGTCATCACATCAGTGTCTCTAATTTATTTTTTGCCAAAAAAATTAATTTCCAAACAGCTATATAGAAAACCCAAACCACATAGGTGGGTGGGCGAGTGGAAAACAGACACTTTTATTTTGATTTTTTTTAAATACCCTCAATTTGTACTCGAGTTCCATTTTGATTCTCCAATTCTGTTGTTATTTTCAGACATTCTCGATCTGTGTCACTTGTGTCAACATGGTCAACATGGCAATTTGCTCATTTCTTCAATATGGACAAATTCAAGGACCATCGACTCACGGGAAATTCCAGCAAAGAATCATGCTAATAACATATGTAATACTTGAATTCTCGATGTACATGCGACATAGTTGATTCTCATCCCTTAGACACTGCGAGTGTGAAAGGAGCATCCCTCGAGAAAAATAATTATTAAGCGCGTGGCGAGTATTGAGGGAGCAAGGACAGGGACAAAAATTGGTCTGAAAAGCCTACAGCAGACCACATGAGAGAGTTTTGTAGACATGTGAAGTTGCCACTGTGCCAGCCAGTTTGTAACTTTGCAAGCAGGAAAATTACGAATAAAAATAAGTAAAGAAAACAGAGGCTTATTTTATTTTTAACCCTGGTTAAAGCTTAACCCAAGTCTCTGGTTAATCTTGGTAATTGGATTTAGATCAGATCTTAGGTGAACCGATGCTTGCTTGAGGTAGAGTCCAAGCATCTATTTCTGTGTCTTAAATCACATTCACAACCACCACTTGGCTTTTCAAGTTGGGAGACTGATAAGCGACCCAAAAAAGAAATTAAAAATTAATCATTGCGGAAAAAAACTTAAAAAAATCAATGGAAGGATTTTGGGAAAAGGGTTACGGTGGATACTCACTCACACTTCACATGGTTTAGTTCTACACCTGATTTAGAGACCATAGGTACGTTTATCTTATTGATTTTTATTTAGGGTAAGGGTTAAGAAAGGTGAAGAAGGCAGGAGTAGTTAGGAGTAGTTTGGAAACATTTGTGGGTTGGAATTTGCCCCTTTGTTGGTGTCCACCATGTGTTCGATTAAATGTCTGAAAGAGACTTTGTAATTTCAATTTGATTTCTGCTTAACATGAACTTGTTGTCTTCCAAAATTCTCTTAATGGTGTATCTCTATAATAAATATTTGTGGGAGCAAATATTTTCGTCTCCAATCAGAGCACGCCACGTGGAAAAGAAGATGGCAAAAAGTCACTTTTGGTCCATGTAGTTTACCACTTTTACCACTTAGGTCCCTGTAGTTTCAATCTGATCAATTTTGCCCTTGTATTTTCAATTCCAAGCAATTCAAGGACAACTCCCAATTTCTGTAAAATTATTCCAACTTCCGTTACTTATTGAACATGTGCCCCTCACGTGGAGGGGCATTTCGGTCCAATAATGCAGCCCTTCTCCAACCATCCGACAGCCACCCATCAGCTCCTCCCCAACCACTTTTACCAAATTGAAATCACATGGAACTATAAAAGAAATAAATTTTTTAATAAAAAAAAAAACCTCAGCAACCCTTCCCCAACCACCCCCACCTTCTCCCCTCCCTATTCCCCCTCCCGATTGAACCTGCTTCTCTCCCTGCACAACCACGTTTTCCCCTCTCTCCAAGAACCCCAAAACCTTAATTTTCGAAAAGGGGAATGCTAGCAACCTTCTCTCTAGCCTTCTCCTTTGGACCTTCTCCCTTCTCTTGATGACATGTGTCATTTTTGTTACACTTAATCCAATATTGTTAGTGCATAAGACAACCTAGCTTTTGTTTCCAAGTTTACCCTTATGCCTTAAATATATTGACACTTGACATGGTTAAGTCCAATTCTTTAAAAAAAAAAATAATAAATAAAAAACTAATCTTATCTCTCTCCCTGACCTTCTCCCTCGCCCCCCACCCACATTCTTTCCAATCCCCACAACCCACCTTCTTCCCAATCCCCACTCACCGTAACCCCCAACCCACACACCCCAAAAAAAATTCTCAACACACCCAACCCAAGTCCCTCCACTCATCTCTCTCTCTTCCCTATTGGAAGACCTACCGAAAACCCACCAGATCCTTGCATCTCAAAGCATCAAATCAGATTTGAGAGTGAATCATTATTATAGGATGGCTTGTACGCCCCAACCTCAAATTATCAAACAATATCATTAACTTTCGAAGTTTGGGTAAATTCCATATATAATTCGGGGTAAATCCAAATTTCAAAGTTTCAACCTTTTAGCAAGAATGGGTTGTGATTGGGTTGCTAGAGGTGGGTGAGGATGGGTGACCGTTGGGTGAGAGTGGAGGGGTGAAGAGGGGTAGGGTCGGGGCCAAATTTCTGGGGAAGAAGGGGCGAGCAGAAGAAAGAGAGAGGAAGAGGGGGGAGGAGAGTGAGTGAGAGAGAGAGAGAGAGAGAGAGTGAGAGAGTCAAAACCCGTACAAACGTTTAGTTTTTACTAAGGGCATATATGGAAATATAATTAATATATTTTTTGTAATTAATGATATTGTTTTAACAAAGAAACAAATGACACATGTCATCAAGAGAAGGGAGAAGGTCCAAAGGAGAAGGTTAGAGAGAAGGTTGCTAGCATTCCCCTTTCGAAAAATCCAATCTACATTCTGCAGAGCTAGAACAAAACTCATCATTGCAATTATCCGAATCAAACCCTATACCACAAGCCGAAATCCCTTGAGATATGTGGCCCAAATTCGAGATAAAGGTAAAGGTTCATAATTTTCTCACCACTGTTGTGGGAGATATCGTAGTCCATGCTCAAGAGTGGTGAAGAAGATCTTATAAAAGCCCAGAAAGGAAAGTGCAGGGGCTAAGTTTTGTGGAGAATATTGAAGTTGAAAGTGAAGAGCTTTGCTTTTCGTGGAGGCTATGGGGACTTCAAAACCCAAGTCACAGATCTCATAAAAAAATCCCAAGAAATAAAAAGAATATTGCTTGAGCCTGGAGGGAGGAACTTGGACGCTTGAAAGGAAGAAAAGCTACAACAAAGGCTGCTGGGTGGCTCTGGGAGTGTTTGGAGTGATTGGACCGAAATGCCCTTCCATGTGAGGGGCACATGTTTAATAAGTAACGGAAGTTAAAGTAATTTGACAGAAATTGAAGTTTGTCCTTAAATTGCTTGAAACTGAAACTACAGGGACAAAATTGATCAAATTGAAACTACGGGGACCTAAGTAGTAAAAATGGTAAACTACAAGGACTAAAAGTGACTTTTTGCCAAAGAAGATTATCCCGTAAATTGATTAATTAAACCAATTTATTTGGTTAATTAATTAATTGGGATAATATCTTAATTATAGGGTATTATCTTATAATTAATAAAGATAATATCATTAAATCAGATATTATCTTTATTTAAAAGAGATAATATCATTAATTCGGATATTATCACAATAAGGGGATATTATCTGATAATTAATTATCAGATATTATCATAATAAAGAGATGTAATCGAGTCCGACTCAATCTCTACGAAACCCTAGCCCCGAGGCTCCTATAAATAGATGACTTCAGTCATCATTCACAGTCTTTTTTACAGGAATCGAGAAGGAGAGAGAAGGAAGATCGAAGGTTGAAGGATCTAGAAGCGAATATTCTCCCGCGAGATTATTTGCACAAACATTTGGTGCTTTCATTGAGAGCACGAGTTATACTCAACGCGTGCTCAAGGAATCCGTTCCTCCTATTTTCCAATCCACCGAAGCCTTCCAAACAACCATGGTTGGAAGCAAGCGCACGAGGAGCAAGACCGCCGCTATGGCTCAATCCGTGACGGCCCAAAGCTACTCCTCCCACGATCCCGCGATCGACATGGTGGCACCACCACCTCTCGCCGCCATGAACCCGCAGCAAACTCTTGCTGCCGCACCACAACAGCCACCCCGTGTGACTGGAACCACCGTGCCGCCTGCCGGACTCGCAGCTGGGACCACCGCACTAGCCGTCGTCGTACCATCTCAAGGCCCCGTGGCCGGATCTAGCCACCTTCATAGCACTGCCGCCGAGCATGGTGGAACCTCCCATCAAGGTGGGCTCACTACCACCGCCGACTTTGGCCCAATCTTGGAGCAACTTCATCCATTCCCTCCATTGCCTCCGCGCCCGACGCATGCTCTCGCTCACACCTCTAATGAAGCCCTAGCCCGTGTGCAATTGGGCTCCACGCACTTCTCTCCTCCCGATCCACGAAGTCAAGTAGACCTTAATCTGAGGGTTGACCAGCTAACTCAGAGAATGGACGACCAAAATAATTTGATGAGGCAACTCCTCAACCAAATAAATTAGGCTCAAAACCTTGGCCTTGGCCAACAGGGCGAAGAGAGAAGGATGGACGAACGCGCCGATATGCAGTTCAATGGGCACCAAGCAGGTCAAGCAGGAGTAAACAGAGAAGGAGATGGACAACAACGTGGTCAGCTTGCCAACATGTCACAAGCGTCTGCAACCCACACTCAAAGCAGACGAAGTCTCCCATCCAGACTGAATCTAAGGGCCAATGTGCGCGAAAGGCTAGGCCCACAACCTGGCATCAGCGCTCGCCTGGGCCCGCAGGGAAACGTTCTTGAAAGGCTAGGCTCCCAGAGAGGTCAACCCGACGGCCATCGCAATGAGGATCGTGAAGAAAGGCGCTCCTCTGCTCGCTCACAAAGAAATGTTCACGAAAGGCTAGGCTCTCAGGGAGGTCAACCAGATAACCCTCACAATGAGGACCGTGAAGAAAGGCG